TATTATTTCCTATTCTATGTTAACTGTATAAAATTAAATAAAGGTGCAGTACAACCAAAAAGATGTTGGTAACCAAATCGTTTTGGGGGCTAAAAACATTCTGTTATTATCTGTTAAAAGTTCATTTGTATTAATTTCTACGTTGAGTTAAAAAAGGTTTGAATTTCTATAACTAACGTGCAAAAGATATAGCCCATTTCACAGTAATTGGCTGTAATCATGCTACCTGCCGTTATTTCACAATAAAATTATGAATACAACATATTACTGTGAATTTTTCAGTTAAATACTGTGAAGGGATACTAATGTAATTTACTGTGAAAAATTACAGTAACTTGTTGTGAAAACCTGGAAATTTTTTACAGTGTAGCAAAAATTGGTGCAATAGCCTAGTGGTTACCGTGCTGACATATGGTGCAATAGCACATCAGAACGTCACAAGGTCGAATCCCGACTCCAGGACATTTCCCAACCCTAACCCCTTCTCTCTTCCGATTCACTTCCTGTCTCATTACTGTCCTATCTAATAAAGGAAAAAAGGCCAAAAATAAATACTAGCAATAATATAGATTCAGTGAAGACAATCTTCCAATTTGAGATCACAGACCCAAATCTAATCTACTCTCATACAGTATATCGACGGTGACACCTGGTGTTACAGTGAACAATACAACACTAACATCATCAGCTCACATGTGAACTAAAGTCGCCTACATCTTAGCTGACCTCAGGGAAATTAAATCAACAGTACATTTTGATAGATCTGGACATAAACAAGCAGCATGTTTTTGACACTGATGCTGAAGCAAGCAGTGTTTCATTGATAAATTTTGACAGTACTTCCGACAACAATGGCAAAATAACAAGACTAAATGCATGTGCAGTGTTGCCTTCACTGTTTGCATATAGCGAAAGATTAAAGCGAGTGGGATTTGAGAGTATGGGAAGAGCAGGATCCTCCTGGGAGCTTCTCCAGCCTCCAGCAGTTGATTGAACAACAGAGCAGGAACGGGGGAGATGAAAACAGACTCATTAATAATGAAGGGAGAGTGAGGCTGAGTGCCAGAGCTTGTTGAAGATGCTGAGGTATTTCACAACTTGCTTTGCCTGAAAGTAGGTCAGCCTGGGAGACCAGCGCTTTTAAAAAAAAAGCACACTTGGTGCTCGATGTTCCTGACCAGTTCTGGGCTCATTCAGGCCTGGATTTGTTAAGATCTGTGTCTGTGTCAGTGTTTGTGATTTTGTTCTGTACAGAATGACAGTTTTACCACAGGAGTTCAACAGGTCTCTGTACACTTGGCCTCTAGTAGTTGGTTATTGGTGGTCTTAACTGTAGATAATATAATAACAAAAGAGAGAAATAAAAACAAAAAAAAGTAATGCTGGTGAAAGTGTTTGTGCAGTTAATACATTTTTATCTATTTTTAAACATATTCATAAGTATGCACTGCTGTTTAAAAGTATCAGTAGGATGAAAACCATTACAACTTTTTTTAGTAAAAATAAAAAACTATATACATTTTATATACATATATTATTATTAGTTTTTATTTTGTTTTTTTTAACAAATAATACACTTTTGATGTTGTTGTTAAGTATTGTCATTCATCCATTTCCCCTGAAATAACTTAGTCATTGCTCGTAGTCATCTTTTAAAATTATGTAATAATAAATATATTGAGCTTAAATTTTACAGTTATATACAGTTGAAGTCAGAATTATTAGCTCCCCTTTTAATTTTTTTTCTTTCTTTTTTTAAATATTTCCCAAATTATGTTTAACAGAGAAAGGAAGTTTTCAGTTTGTCTGATAATATTTTTTCTTCTGGAGAAAGTCTTATTTGTTTTTTTGCAGCTAGAATAAAAGCAGCTTTTAATTTTTTAAACACCATTTTAAGGACAAAATTATTAGCCCCTTTAAGGTAATTTTTTTTTTCGATAGTCTACAGAACAAACCGTTGTTATACAATAACTTGCCTAATTACCCTAACCTGCCTAGTTAACCTAATTAACCTAGTTACACATTTCAACATGTATTTATTAATTAATTTATTAATTTATTTATTTATATACATACATATGCATATAAACACACAAAATGATACTTAAACATTCAAATATTTACATTACAAAATAACAGTTAAACAAAATAAACACTGACATACCTTCTGCAGAAGCATTGCTAATTTCAAACATTTACAAAAGGTAAGAAATAAAACCCTCTCTGTTCCTGTAGAGATGGACGATCCTCAGTGCTGTATCCTGTGTCTGTACCTGTGCAGCTGCTGGTGCCTCTGGAGCAATGCTGGATTATGCCATCTCATCTTCTTTTTTGACAAATTTCAGCATGGAACCTCCATGTACAATACAGATGAAATTAGTCATTTAAAGAAAAACTCATGACATACCATTAAGACAATGGGCCAGCCAAGCACTCTTTATAATGTGTCTAAACTTCAACCAAAATGTGGAATTAACTTGCACTATAATCCATGGTGACAAAAACTGACCCTTGCTGTCAGTATAAATCAAAGACATTTGGTCTTTAAGAATTAATGAGTGTATTTTTAAACAAAAACTTTGTTAACATTCAGGGGGAAAAACATCATTAATGAATTCACGCTATAAAAATGGATTATGGTCTGTGGCTTACAATAATTTGACTCATTTTATATTATTGATCTTTCAGAAATCACAGAATGAATCAGTTTTGTTTTTTCATATTGTAATGTACAAAAAAATGTCCAATTTAAAACAAACCAATCTACCGATGTAAAGGCTAAAGAGACTTTATTGTCATTGCCGTGATACAAGCAATAACAACAGCGGCAATAAGAAATGTATAAAAATGAGACAAAACAATAAACAATGATAACTGCAAAGAATTTTATAACAGATAATTATATAATATAATAACTATATAATAATAAATAATACATACAGTGAAAGGATTGTGCAGTGCATGTGTATGTAGCTGGTGTGCAAACAGAATTGTGAAGTATTGCACAAGTTAAAAAAAAAATTGAGTTTGTGTAATTATCGGCAACATGGGGAAGAGGGGCAAACGTGAAAAGTCATAGAACATGTCTTTTCAGTTTAAAGCACAATGCACAGCCGCAAAGCAAGAAACTGAATGTAAACAACAACAAATAAGGCAGATTTGGTGTGGAGAAAGTGGTTTAAGCATTAGCCTTATTAATTGACTTAAACAACCCAAAATATAGCGTTTTCCCGATTCATGGACCTAAGTTACCTGAAAGTGATGCACACGATTCATTGTGTACTCTTTTCCTCTTCTCGGCTCCAGACTGTTGGCATAGAGCTGCAGCATCAATTATAATTATATGCTGCTAGCAGGCGCAAAGATAAATGGTACACGACTGCGCGTGCATGGAAAAAAAATGACATCACATGTTTGTTTTTGTGTTCGTCATAAAATGACTTTTTTATGTATTTAACAACATATTATCAATATATATTTTATTTACACTCAGTTTGTGTTAATATAATATTAAATAAAAAATTTTAAGCAATTCAGGGACTGTTTGATTTTGTAGATTTGTATTATTAATTTTTTATAATTTTACGTTGTAAAACTATTTTGATGGTGCTGAAAGTGAACACTGAGAAGGAAATTTCATTATACATTGTATGATGAAGAGAAACAATCAATAGTTAATGAATCAGACTCACTCAGAATACAGTCTCATCTGTTGCTTTTTTAAATCACATAACAATACATAATATTTAAAATAATATGTTAAGTAATTTATTCATTTAAAAAGTTTTTATTTGACATTAAATTATGAAAATATGACAGTAATGATGTTTATTTTTGTGAGAAAAAAAAAAGTTTGTTTCAGGTAAATGCCATAACTTTGAACTTAATGTTCATCAAACAATCCTTAAAAATGTATCAGGGCTTCTACAAAAGTATAAAGTATTATTGTCGACATTAAAAATAACCTAAAATGTTTAAAATCAGCATTTTTGAAGGATTTCTGAAATGTTACGTGACACTTAAAGCTGGATAAATAATGCTGAAAAGTCAGCTTTGACATTACATTTTAAAATATACTGTACTTAGTTATAAAGTAGTAATTTTAAATTCTAAAAATATTGTACAGTGTGAAAATTTTTACTGTATGTTTACAATAAATCACTTTGTATATATTTTTTAAACCAGTATTAGAATTTGTTATGGATGTACATTAATTAGTTATGGAATTAAATGTGGAATTACTGATGACTAGACCCACATGGAATCTGCGCATGCAGAAATCTGTAGATTTTTAGCCCATCAAGAAGTCTATGTATATACTTATGTATATGTAAATTTTTATTTATTTATTATTATTCAGTTTTTAAAATCATTTAACTAATATCATTGTGATATAATAGTAATATTAAAGTGTTCAAATGATTAATTTACAATACAGTTTGTAAAGTAATATGTTCTTTTAAAAAACTGAACTTTTAGTAGAGATATATGAGAGACTTGCTTAGTTTACCAAATAAGTGGATCTAATTGGATTTGCATTGTAAACATTGATTATTAATATTTGTTGATTTCATATATTAAGTTTTTAGTTATGATACTCCTAAAATCATTCTGCAAAAATCTGCAGACTTTTATGAAATTCTCCACAGAAATAGAAAAAACGTCAGCAGATTCTGTCTGGCCCTTGTAATAACTTTACAGACTTTTCAAATTTGGTTGGTCTTTAAATAGTTGGTATTTAAATGGTGCTCATGTATATTTTAAAATAAAGACACCACAACTTTATAACAGTTATGTATAAAAGCATACAAAAACAGTCAAATCATTCATTTTAATAATCAATTCTTGGTTTTTTTAGTGATTCCACATGGGCAGTCGAGTTTCTCAATTGCAAGATTACAGTTCTCTCAATGTTGCTTTAGTTCAGACTGTTGGTTGTCTAAAAGCCTCTTTTAAATGTTGATGATAGATTTTTGTCATTGTTTTTTGTGTTTCTGTAGTGGGATGGTGTGGGACCCCTGCCGGACACTGCTGAGCCCCCCAAGGGGATTCAGATGCTGTGGCACCCCTCAATAGTGAAGCCCTACCTCACCCTGCTGTCTGAGTGCTCCAACCCGGACACACTGGAGGGGGCCGCCGGGGCCCTGCAGAACCTGGCAGCCGGGAGCTGGAAAGTAAGAACTCTTGTTATTCGGTCAGCATTCATTGTTGGATTTGTCTTGTGGGTTTCTTTCTTATGAGTTGCCTGTAGTTTACATATTACTCAATGGAATTATCATTGTATTGAGTAATTAACAATTTATCATCATTTTAGTTTCTGGTCGACTATTTTATTAATTTATTTTTATTGTGGTATCTGTCTGAGTAAAAGCAAACGTAAATAGAGTAAAGGGTTTTTAGTCCTTTAAAAATATTCATATAAATTTTTAGACAGTGGACAAGTGTTATTATTATTATTATTATTATTATTATTATTATTATTATTATTATTATTATCTATTCAAATGTTTTTTATTTTTAAAAGATATATACGTTTGTTTTTATAATATTTTTTTTATTTACTATAATATAGTTTTATTTTATTTCCCAGTGATGGGTTGCGGCTGGAGGCCATTCGTTGCATAAAAAATATGCTGGATAAGTTGAAGGTTCATTCCGCTGTGGCAACCCCTGATTACTAAAGGGACTAATCTGAAAGAAATTGAATGAATAAGTTAATGAATGATTGAATAAATTAATTTTATTTATTTTTTATTGGTTGTTCTGAGTCAAAGACAATATATACTTAATCACCATGCTAATGATAACGACTACTCAAAGCAACTTGTTTTTGGATATTGTTGTCTTCTCTTGACTCATATTGTAATTTTTTTATTTGTTTTTTTCTATCCACGCATGTTAGAATCTAAACTTATTGAAAATTGTAAGAAGAAATGGTGTATAATTGCATTTTTCCTGACCAAAACTAGTTGTGTAAACAATGTGTAAACTAGTAGTGCTCTTTGATCTCACATGGTTTTCAGCATCTCTCAGTGACAAACGCTTGTTTTACCTGTGTTGCTGGAGAACTGTAATCCACCTGGTGTGTTCTGAAAGATCAATACTCTCAGATGGAGGCAGATGCAATAGGATTGGATTGGTTTTGAAGCCTCATAACAGGTTTAGACCCCCCTGGAGAAGTTAAATGAAAGCGGCGTCTGTACAACTATGAACAGCTACAGGGCATCAGGTTGGGTACGTGTTTGTAGTTCGGTTATTAGGAGACACACAGGCTTAATAGTTGAGCAATTTTACTTGGTTGCTCTACTATGTTTTATTTTAGGGGATTTACCCTTTGCTTAATTAAAGTTCAAAATGGCTACTTGTACATTCAGGAGTACATTTCTGAAGAAGAAACAGTACTTTGGTCACCTATCTGAAGGAACTTATGCTGCACACCAAGGTTATTATAGTTTTGTGAATTTAAATTACTTTTTATTTCAATACTATTTTTAAATTTGCTGTTTATTTCAGTTTAGTTTTAGTTCATTTCATTAAAGGTGCTTTTAGTTTTAGTACCATTTTTATTTATGAACACATTAATATTTATTCTTTCATTCATTTAGTCCTTTTTTAATCAGGGGTCGCCACAGTGGTATGAACCGCCAACTTATCCAGCATATGTTTTATGCAGTGCATGCACTTCCAGTTGCAACCCAGCACTGGAAACACCCAACGCTTATTCTATTCACCTATAGCTCATGTCTTTAAACTGTGGAGGAAACCTATGCGAATACTGGGAGAACATGCAAACTCCACACAGAAATGCCTACTGACCCAGCCGGGGCTCGAACCAGGAACTTCTTGCTGTGAGGTGACAGTGCTAACCACTGAGCCACCATGTCGCAAATTTTTATTTAGTTTTTATATATTTAGATATATATTATTTATATATATTTTATTTTATAAATTTAGGTTTCAGTAGTTATAGTTTAGCAGAACATGCCCTTTGTCAACCAAAGCAAATTTTGCACAGCTTGCATTAACTCAATTTTCTTTGCCTTAGTTCCTATATGCCTCAAGGGTCGCCACAGCGGAATGAACCGCCAACTCATCTAGCATATGTTTAACGCAACAGATGCCCTTCTAGCTCCAACCCTGTACTGAAAAATAAACACTGAATCGAAGTCATAAATGCAACTAATAAAACTGAAAAAGAGTTTGAAAATTCAGACAAACCTAAACACAATACAAGATCAAACTAGATTAAAACTAAAAACCAACAACCAGTCACCAGACATGAACATTATTGAGCATGTCTACGGTATAAGAGGAAGGAGGAGGCATTGAAGATGTATCCAAAAAATCTTGATTAACTCTGGAAGTCCTGCAAGAACGCTTTCTTTGCCGTTCCAGATGACTTTATTAATATGTTATATTAAACACAGTCTTTGCAGAGATGTATGGATGCAGTCGTCCAAGCTCATACAAAGTCATACACAGTAATAATTCTTTTTCCACTGCAGCATGACTTCATATTCTGTACATTATACTCTGTTGCTCCTCACATAGGGATTTGCTATGAGGATTATCCATATAATTTGCAAGTATTTGTGAAATGTGACAAAAAGACTGCTGATTTCTTTATGTTCCCTCTTGACTTGCATGTTTTCATTACTTCAGTTTTTGTCCTCTTCGTAGATGAACAACCAATTAGAACTCTCTCTTTTTCTCTCACTAATGGCGCCAATGCCAAATTTACAGTACATGCTGAATCTACCAAACTCCCAAGAGTTTATTAAACATTTATTTGTTTTTCACTGACAGCCCAGATGTAGCTTTGTTTTAGTCAACCTTTCTATTCTTTGACATCAATTAGATGTCTATTAGTTTTCTTATAAACACAGAAAATGCTTGTTGGTTCTCAACCTCTCACTCTGCTCCACCTCCACATCTTTTAGCCCCACCCCTGTTGTCACACCATGTTTGATTGACAGCCTGTATTTGAAACAACTTTAAATTGCTGTGTTTACAGTATACACCCTCTGTTTGGAACACTCTGTTGTTGTGTTTTTGTGTCTCTATTTCCTATGCACACACAGACACACACACACACACACACACAGAAGTCATCATAAATGAAGGATGTGAGGTGATGCCCGCTGGGCCATGTTTTTTGCTCTCTCCCCGTTACAGCAGAAGTGGCGAGTAGCAGAGAGTTTAATCTAAGCTGACACTCTGTCACTGATAAAGACTGATCCCACAGCTGAGGTCATACATACAGAACCTCGGCTAGTATTAGTCTTTCACTGTAACCTGCAGAGTGTGATTATACTGTCAGCAGGGTGCTGATCCAAAATCAGACACTTTACAGACATTTGCCCACATGGCATATCCAACTATTAAGATACACTTCATGGACTCTTGAAAACGTCTGATATGTGGAACGGCACTGACAGTCACAAAATGTAACCCAGTGATGCATGAATTTCTAAATCACAAATGTATTAAAATGATCTTAATTAGTGTAATTTTAGTATTGTTTACTAGTTTGTGTCTTAGTATTTTAGTATTGTATACTTGATTTAGTTTGACTCAGTCATGAAAAACGGGTTTTAACTTAATCAGTCCAAGTTTAATATGACTTTTTTCAAACACAAGGCAAGTTTATTTATGTAGCGCGTTTCATACACAATGGTTATTCAAAGTGCTTTACATAAACAGGAATAAAAGAAACAAGTATAAGAGCATAAAAACATATTACAAATGACACTTGCTAAAATATAATTTCATTATTTCAGGCATTTTTTTCAGTTATACAACAGTTCTGTCTGGTTCTCGAATCTGATTGTAAAAACTCGTGCAGCCTCCTCACCCTTCTGTATTACTTTGCCCACATAGAGTCACAGCATATAGCTGTTGACAACATAATGTATTTTTGAGGCTTTTTGAGTCGAGATTGTAGTTGTTTAGATTGCAACTATGCAGTTTATTTGTAAGGATAGTGTCTATCTTAGAATTTCTGAGATACAGCATGTCAGCATCCATCAGCCTGTCATACTGAGCAGAGCAAAAACAGTTGACGTCCATCCACAAGATGGCGACAGAGACCTCATTGTTGGTTTTCTAACTACAGCTGATCAAAACATTATAAAATTGGTGAGTGACATTCTAAGTTGATCTCTATCTTTTGTATGCTGTAGTGCTGTATTTTTATCATAGTATTTGTAGTGTATTGAGTATGAGATGGGACTCGCATATCAGGAATGTATGTATTTTTTGTTTGCCATCTGTTTGTTTCTAATGCGTCTGCTGTTTTTGTTACTGCAGACTAGTTCAGCAAAAAGAAAGAAAGAAGAAATGCCCACATGTGTGTTTAGCATTTTTCCTTATCGCAAACACAACAGTCATCTGGTAGTGATTGCGTTTTTTTTTTTGTTGGCTTTTTTGGGATTCATTATTGTGATCTCTCACGATTGCAAAAGAAATCTATAAAATAATATTATTTGTTTATACTGAAAAAATTACTAAATAAAGTCTGAATATATTCTGAAATTAAATAATTTCTCTAAAACCAAATCCAAATGTTTATCATCAATCCTTCAGTCTATAATGTGATCAGAACTTTCAGAAATCATTTCTGATTATTATCAATACTATTTTGCTTCTTTATATTTTGTCAAGTGACCGTAAGAGACTTCTTTTAAAACTGCATGACCAAAATATCTGAAACATCCATTTCTGTGATGTCCTGTTTATCTGTGTTTCTCTTCAGTGGTCGGTGTACATCCGTGCGGCAGTGAGGAAAGAGAAAGGTCTGCCGATCCTCGTGGAGCTGCTGAGGATCGACAATGACCGCGTTGTGTGTGCCGTCGCCACCGCTCTCCGAAACATGGCCCTGGACGTCAGAAATAAAGAGTTAATCGGTACCGTCTCTTTTCTTCCTCTCCTGATCTTTTGTTTTTTTTCAGTGGCTGTGTTCACTTTGTTTTCAATGGTTCAGACTGAGTTTGTAGAGCTCAGGGTTAACAGCTGCGGTCTCTCTGTAATGAAGTCCAGTCTCTTGTGTTTTAGCCGCTGTGGTGAAGAGGGCCGTTCATAGCTCTCAGCTCACAGGAAGATTACTGTCATTTTATTATTACACTTTTCCTGGACACTCATCATTTTAAATGGGCTTGCAGGCATCAGGCTGCACTCGCACATTCCAGGCTTGGTGGACAGTTTTTGATAGATCCAAATGGAAAGTAGGGAAAATGTCTTCAATACATTTAAAAAAACAAACAATGGCTTCGTGTGGCTGAAGTCAGTATTTAGTGTGACTTTCATTGGCGGTTAGCATACTTTTGAGCTCTTTTGAGGATTGAGTTGTGTTTTGAGGATTAATTTAGTTATTGTACAGGGTTTAGCAGATGGTTTTAACCTTGCTTTCTGGAATACACCCCGATGTGATTTTTTTGTTTGTTTGTTTTTTTTTATTTTTATTTTTTGCAGTTGATGTGACAGCTTTAAAGTTTTAAAGGTTTTTATTTAGTTGCCTTATTGTTTTTGTTTGTTTTATTGTTTTTGGATTTGCTAAGTTTTTGTTTGTTTTGTTTTTATTTTAGCTGCTGGATAAAATTAAAGCTGTAAAGATTTGTTTTAGTTGTTTTAGTTTTGTTGTTTTCATTTGTTTCTTATTTGTTTGGATTGAATTGTTTAACTACTAAAAGTGACATGATAGTTGTTTGTTTGTATGTCACTTTGGCCACGTTTACACTGTGACTGTCAGGTATTGATTCTCAATTCCGATTTGTTGCCTATATCTGATTTTTTTTGCCTGTCTGTTTTCAAGTTTTTTTTAAATTGTGACTCATATTACATTCATGTATTAACACATGCCATACAATTTACGACGTCACACATGCCTAAAGGGGGGTCTAGCATTTGTACCACACTAGCCATGATGGATGAAATTGTCTTGCTTTTAGCTCTGTAAAATATCTAAAGTTTGCCCAACTTTGAAATTATTTTGATGCAGAGGAGGATGGAAATGGCCGTCATCGCAGCTTGCACCTATGGTTTATACAGTATATGGTGTCCTAAACCATTCTAAGGAATTTGTGAATACGAAAGAGATCTCAGGTCTGGTGGGATAAAAACGCGGAGGGCTTTAATGAGGAGCAGTGGGTCCGAAATTTTAGGATGAGCAAACCAACATTTCATATGCTGTGTCCAAGCTTGTCCACATACCTTGTTTACTGTGTCAGCGTCTCCACACACGCTCTTGGAGAAGTGGAGAAGTACCTCATTGTCGCAAGTTTAATAACGTGCAAAACAGAATCTCTCAATTAATCCGGTCAGCCTGTTTACATATAGTTGCCTTGTCACATATTTGATTTCTATGTGACGGAGGCCTGAAACTGATCTCTGAATATCCGAATGTATGCAATTTTTTCATGTTTACACACCCATATGTGTCTGTGACACATATGAGCAAAAAACCAGAACTGAGTCACATTTAACTAGCAGTGTACACAGGGCCTTAGTTGTGATTTGTTCTGTTTGGATGCCCTGGGTGCCATGCGGTTTTTTTGTTTGCTTGTTTGTTTGGTTGATTGCTTGGGTTCCCATGGTTTTGTTTGTCTGACTTTACAGAAAGCTCTGCAACTAAAGTTTCAGTTCATAGTTTAATTAAGTTTTATTTAGTTTAAGTTTGTTTCGTTTTATTGCTTCTATTGTTCTGCTGACTACTACGAGTGATGTGTATTTAAAGGTTGTTCAAAGGCTCGCCATAAATATAATTGTGTTGACATATATTATCCCTCTACCGCACGCATTATGATAAACCTGTAAAAAAAATAATATTTTACTGTTTTTCTTTTCTTAAAATGGCTTAACTTGAAGTGCTATAAAAAAAAAATGAATTAGAAAAAAAAAATATGCCAAATGGCAACAATGTCGAACAGTGGATGTACCTGAGAAATTTCAAATTTAAAACGTTCCTTATAATTAATCATTTTTTACTTTGAAATAATTTCATTGGTGTTGCAGCATTATGAGCTTTAACACAGAACTTATAAATGACACCTTATACATACTTTCCAACAACTCTTATTTCAACAGTTTTCATTTATTCTATTCTTTTTTGCTGAATATTATTAAAAAACTATCATAATATTGTATTATCATATATACAACATACAGTAAATATAAGTATTTTCTCCAGTTAATATTATTAATTCATTCTCTTGTCGGCTTAGTCCCTCTATTAGTCCGGGGTCACCACAGCGGAATGAACCGGCAACTTATCCAGCAAATTTTTACGCAGCGGATGCCGTTCCAGCAGCAACACACACACATTTACACTCATACACTACGGACAATTTAGCCTACCCAATTCACCTGTACCGCATGTCTTTGGACTGTGGGGGAAACCGGAGCACCTGGAGGAAACCCACGCGAATGCAGGGAGAACATGCAAACTCCACACAGAAACACCAACTAAGCCGTGGCTAAAACCAGCGACCTTCTTGCTGTGAGGTGACAGCACTACCTACTGCGCCACTGCCTCGCCTCCAGTAAATTATAACAAATAAATAACTAGTCTAGTATATCCAGGTGCATCAGAATAATGTAGCTAATAGCTAACAATGTTTATATATATTATACTATATACTAAACTACGCCTGTCTTATCTACATCTAAGCTAACTTACTTGAACTGTCGCTATCGAATGTCCAGTCTGCATCATTATCATTGTCACTAAAACCCATCTCACCCTCACTTTCATCTGCAGGAAGAGCCAGTTTTGTCCTTTTCTTCTTTAAATTACCACAGAACATGGTGGTGCTCGCTAATATACTGTTCCCTGTATTGATATCTATTCAAAAGTAGTATTGCCATTAAAACTAGATTTTATCCATAATGCAAATGTCATTAACATATGACTAATCAACATTATATTACTAGCATTCATTTTATTATTGTTACAACTTAAAAGACCTTGCTAGCTAGCTAACTCATTGCAATATTGCATGTTCCACTATTGCACAGTGTTGCCATTTGGTAACACACACATTTGATCGATTTACAAAAAAAATTAATTTAGTTTAAAAAAATTGGAGTTGTGAATATGTCATCATAACTTACTGGAGTTGATGTTTCAGATTTTTTTGTGGATCTGACATAATTTGATCCTTTGTTTTTATTGATGTTTACATTTGCATTTAGCAACTACTCACAAAAAACACATGTCTGTCAGAAATCACACTACAGAAAAACACTGCATGTCATGTGACTTAACCAAAGCACATTATTGGTTACTCTGAGTTATAGCTAATTTCTGTTGATGTGATTTTGGATGGTACATCCTTGGGTTTATATTTGCTAACTTGTATTTATTCTCACAAATCCCACATTTATGTATAAATTGAAATGTTTTTAATTTGAATTGACTTTTTTTACAGGGACAAGCGCAACATTACATTGACCTAAGAAATAAAATAAGTTTTGTGCCAGGCTTTAGCAAAAACTGCTATTTTCCAGTCCCTGAACAGGTAGATCATAAAACACTTTTTAAAAAATAAGAAAAGAAAAGAAAACATGTTACAGCTTAAAATATAGAGGGTCACTTGTACAAATTACACACAAATAATCAAACATAAACATTTCCTTAGTGTGTACATATTTGTTTGGATAGGAGCCACTTTTTTAACTTTTAATGTTTGTTTATGGTATTAAAGCACAAAAATATTAACAGCGCACAGACTTAAATAAACAATGTTTTCCTTGCTGCCGCTGTTTTAAGGTAAAATATGATATTTTAATGCATGATATTGCAGGATAAACCCTGTTGGCAGGTGTTACACATGTACATATTTGGCATTTAATTTCTGCGCCCTGCAAACTTCTAATTTCAAGTGCTCTGCCCTTCAGATTGAGTAGGGCACAGAGCTGCTCACTTCCAGTGGGATTCGCCAAATATCTTTTTGAGTGGCACTTAATCATGTTTTCACTGTTTAGGAAAAGGTTAACATGGAAGGGAAGAGTTTTTATCAGTTCGCGTGCTGCATTTGCTGAACATATAAACTTACACTTACTGTAGATGCTACACAGTTTGACCACAATATTATTATTATTATTATTATTATTATTATTATTATTATTAATAATTATTATTATTATTATTATTATTATTATTATTATTATTATTTATTATTATTATTATTATTATTATTATTATTATAAAGATAATAATAATAGACTGTTGGACTTCAATGTTGGAACAGTATTTATAATGGAAAATGCCATAAAACTTGAATTTAATTGAATTGCATTTCACTCTATTCAATAGACAATCTTTAAAACATAATAACAAATATATAAAAAAAATTTTTACAAATATTAATATTTAGCAGGCATTATCAAAAATAAAATACAAAACAAAAAGTTTTTCTGTCCTGTCCAAAATTTGAAGAGCCTTGTGGAGGTTTTATATATTATTTTGAAAGTGATTTTGTTTCAATTTAAACAAATATATAAATCTAGAACAAAGCTGTTCTGAAATAATCTGACAGCTCATGTTGTTATTATTTATATATTTTTTTCATAACTGGCTCTACCAAATGGTTGACCATATTTTGACTGTTTTAAATAATGTCTGTTAAAGCAATTTAAAGAATGATTGCTTTAAATAATGCTTTACACTACACAGCATTGTTAGTTTACAAAAAATAAATAAATGAATAAAAAATCAAGCAAACATAATCATCCTGCACTACTACACTTGAGGAACAAGAAGACATATTAAATGAGTTCAAAACTCTTTTCAAATGAGTAGAATTAACTTTTAACAACACTTTTTTTTTAACAACACTTATTTCATTTAATAAAGTTGTATTAATGTTTAGTAAAGATGTATTAATTCTGGTACTTTTACCAAAAACTG